TGAATTTCAACAATTAATATACTCCGCTGCCTTGAATTACCGTAGACTTGTATTTCCCGAAAAGCTAACGAACACTGGCCGAGATATCAACGAATAAGAAACGAAGAAAGGGAGGAAACATTGCAGATCTTTCGTCGCATGTGCACCGCAACACCCTATAACGGAAGTGAATAAAACCGGCCATTGACCAATGACGAAGCAGAACTTCATTTGACAGTTGTAATTAGTATTCGAAAAATTTGAATCAATCATGCATAAACACGAAACAATACGTCACTTCCGTCATAGGGTGTTGCGGTGCACATCGTACGAAAATAATCGATGAATATCGGTCGTCAAATATGTAGGTTAAACGACCGTTTATTGAAATTTATTTCCTAATGTAGTAAGAATAGATAATTTCTAGCTTGCATACAAAAAATTATGTATTTTTATGAAATATTAAGCAAGTTATAGCCATCCTAAAGTATCACCCCAGTGACTGTTTCCTCCCTTTCTTCGTTTCTTATTGTTTACTAAGTATAGCGAAATGTGAGCCCACAATAATCTAAAGCAGCGGAGTATATTCATTTGGTGTTCATGTTACATGAAGTACGAATAAAAAATCATACAAGGAATACAATGTTTATAAACTTTATATGGTTTCACGACAATTTCAACAGACTATAAATTGTAAAATATGCATTTCTAATGCACAGATGGAGATTCTACAATGAAACATATTACAATTAACAAGGTAAGACGGCGTTTGTATTGTTTTACTAGATAAACTCGACTCCTCTGCTCCCTGTGTTATATCAGAAAAACAAGAAGTTGTGTTACATTCTAAATCACCACGATTTGTCACACCAGCAAAGGTATGATGATTTTCTTCCACCACGAGTGCAAGCGAGGGACCAATATTAACAAAATTATCATTTAATTTGTTTGCAATCAGGTTTCTATCTGTAAGAATTACATTACTATCAGTCCTAATTTCATTGATAATGGTTGATTTTGAATTTTTCCCAAGTAGGTTATTAATCAAGGACCAACTTTTTTTTACGTTCTTAATTATGCTGATGACACTCAGATATTTTAGTATTGAAATAGTTAGCTTTAAGATTTTTAATTTCAGCTTTAATTTTATTTCTAATGGTTTTAAATTTTTCCCAATGCATCTCAGAATTTATTTTTTTAAACATCATTTTATGAAAATCTCTTTGCCTCATTAGTTGCCTAATAGAGGCATTTAGCCATGGAATTCTTTTAGTTTTAATATAATTCCTCAGAATTGGCACGTGTCTATCAAGTACTTCAATAAAAAAGGACTTCCAGACTTGTCAGCTATCATTCGGGTTATTAAATTGATTGACATAATCCCAAGGGATCCTAGACAAATCGTCCAAAATTACCTTTCATTAAAGTTTTTAAAATTTCGAACTTCACTACATGTTCTCTGTCCTTTTCAGGGGCGCACATTCGAAAAAAACTTGGGGGGTGTCCTACGTTCTGGGACCGACTTTCGTAGTATTTGTGTTTGGTAAGAAAAGCCAACTATTTAAAGCGCATAGACGGTAAGACGGGGATAGTATTCCAAGAGTTTAAATAAACGTTCAGTTTTTCAGAACTTTTGCAGTGCTCTAAACGTTTGGGGGAGGGGGCCAAATTTTTATGGATTTCGAATGCGAGCGCCGTAGGCGCGAGGAAAATTTTGAATTTCTAGATTCATTAGAATGCTAATTCACCTATTTTAGGACAAGGTTTGAAGAAAAGTTACAACCACAAAAAGGCATTTTTAGGTCGCCTAATATTGTTAGATCGAAAAAATATTTATGTATAGAGTTTAAATAATCGTTCAATTTTTCAGAACTTTTGCAGTGGTCTAAACCTTTGGGGGGGGGGATTTTTATGGATTTCGAATGCGAGCGCCGTAGGCGCGAGGAAAATTTTGAATTTCTAGATTCATTAGAACGCAATTTCACGTATTTTAGGACGAGGTTTGAAGAAAAGTTACAACCACAAAAAGGCATTTTTAATTAGTCGCCTAATGTTGTTAGATCGAAAAAATATTTATGTCAAACATAGTATTGTACACGCAAATACAACAGCAATATAGCATCATGTCTTCGTTTTTGTAGAAGTCGGTCATGAGTGTTGCTTTGAGCGCAAATTCAAGTTCAAATGTGCTTTAAAGCAACCATAGGCATTTTTTACTGGTGTTAGGATTCTAGGTAGGGAAGACTTCAACTTTTATTGGCAAACAGACGAGATGGGTATCATTATTCACACATCGTACCGGCTTTCCACAAGGGCAGTCATTATGCCCATTGCAGAGTCCCCCAAGCCCCCATCTTGGCTACGCCGCTGATTTACTTCTGCCTTCCAAAGTTTCAGCTTTTAATGCACATTTTAACTGCACCGCGGGGACTTGAGGTAATCGGATCGCATTACGTTGGTTGAACTGTTGCAACACGGAAGTTGATTATTTGCTCTCTTGGTTTGTGTCAGTGAACTCTAATTTGTGTATGTCATTACCAGAAATATGGGACAAGATGGCGACGGACATGCGCACTTTGACCAAATATGGCGACCAAATATTACTATAAACTATATGGGAGTTGATCAAAATATCAAATTTTAATATACTTTGTTTAAATATTTCATGGTTGCGGAGCTCGATTATAGTAGCGACACCAACAAGCAATATTTCTAAACAAAAATCGCTAGTATTGCACCGCGTCTAGCAGGTTCCTGAGAATGTTGTATTTTTACACGCAATTTGATGAATTTCATAGTGTAATTTATAGTAAACGTCTGACACAAGAGGTAAATATCCGACGAATAGACCAACATCCATTCGGGCGATGAAAAGTGCGGAGCTCGCAACATATTTAATGATGTCCAAACTGTTAATTTAGCTAAATAAATCCGCTGTAATTCCCAGGGAAACTGGTCCCCGAAACGTTTAAAAGTTCGCCTTTTTACGGTTCTTGTATGTCGCCATTAGGCCATCTTAATATCCGAAAACGACAAGTTTTAATACAAATTTGAGCTGTTTCGAGCTGCCATGTTTGTTGTTTATTTTAAAAGACTAGATCCCAGGCTCTCACGTAAAAACACAGGGATATTTTAGGATTTTTTAGGATATTTGCAATATTTTTAGTCTTCATAAAAATTTGCGGGGTTAAAGGTCAAAATACCGGAAGTGATCAGCATAAACTGCAAAATATAGTTTAAAATCACAGTTTTTGGTTGAATAATACTTGAACTGGAGATCCAAAGTAAAATGCGAAGTCGTTTTACTTATATTAGGGAATGTTGGGCATATAAAACGGACTTAGCCGCTGACTACAAAAGCGGGAGCAAAATGTCCCATATTTCTGGTAATGTCTAATTCGTTTTTCTTTGTCTAATTCGTTTTCTTATGTTTATGCAACTGCCATTTCCAGAATGTCCACCTACTACTTTTTTCGACACAAAATGATAATATCTTTCAGATTTTAGCCGGACCGACTTTTTCGTCCCATTCAGGTTTTGGGACCGACTTTTTAGATATATTTCACAAAACATGGGGGGGTGTCACACCCCTCCACACCCCCCCTAATGTGCGCCCCTGGTCCTTTTAAAGGAACTAGTTAACAGAATAAATCAAACTATATATGATGTGAAATCCCAATTTCAATTACTCCATGATTGGAGATGCTTTCGGGATTATTGGCAAGAATTAGGTCAATCTGTATTGCTGAAGACCTAGTCACCCTCGTTGGCTCATCAATAATTTGACTAAGTTGATACAACACACATATATTTTTTAGTTTTTGCGTATGACTGTTCAACGGCGTCTTATTCCAGTCACAATTTAGATATCCCAGAACAAGTAGCTCTTTACTTTCTATCTCACATTTATTAATAAACATTTCAAAACTGTCAAATAGATCTATGTTTGAATTCGGTGGCCTGTACCACACACTAATTAAGAAAGGTTTACCGTATTTACGGCATATTTCAATGCACACCATCTCAAGCTGATTAGGAATCAGTTCTTTCCGCTCTATAAAGGAAAAGCAGTCTCTGATATAAAACACGACACCCCCACCATTTCTATTACGAACCTTCCGGCACAAAGCATATCCTGGTATTTTGATTTCATTGTCAGAAATAGAGTCATCTAATTTAGACTCATTTATAGCTAGGACATCCAGCGGATTTTTTTCTAAAATCACTCGAATCTCATCGATATGTTTCAAAAGACTATTTACATTCAGACTGGCGATTCGAAATCCTTTTGATTTATCAATTATACTTAGAGGATACAATACTATTAGTATTAGCCGGATAATTATCATTTAGCGAGTTCGTTTTCTTTGAGACATAGATGTCTGAGTTAAGGCAACCAGATTTAACAGATCTCTAAGAAAATTTTCAAAACCTACATGGTTTTCCTACTGGTTGTTTCTTTAATTTTATCAGGGTTTAAAAATTTAATAAAGCGTGTAGCTAGTAAAGCAGATCCTTTTGCGCTCAGATGTAATTTACTATTATTAAGTCCAGATTCATCTATGATTGAATTGTCAATAAAAGAAAAGCCAGATTCATTACATAAACGTTTTAGATCTTCATTTACTTGATACATTTTACTCGATACTTCAATATCTTTCCTTAAAATGATACTTGAAACACCTAATTTAGCCTTAGGAAACTTTTCTTTAATACTAGAACACAAACCTTAATTCGATGTTCTTTATACACTGATCACCTGTGTCGGTACGTTGGTAGATTGTTCGTCCCGGCGCGTATAATAACATGGGTTGGATGTAACTGAACATTATTATTCTTTACTTCAGATGCAATTTCCTCCGCTCTTTTGCCTGGAAACGTGAATTTATTAACCCGTTTTCTTGATAGTTTACGAGGGTTAATGTTCTTAATCATTGAGTCTCCAACGATGGCGATATTTGGTTTGTTTTCATATTGATTTTCCTTCTGTCGATGACCATTTAGATTTTGATTTATTTCATTTATTTCAGCAGGAACATTATTGGCTTCCTCTACCTTCAGATGGGAGAAACTGTTATTGGTTGGGGCAGCCGGTCCTGCAACTCGATCATGATCCAAAGATTTTTCCTTTGAACAATTTCTTTCTTTCGTGCTTTGTGCACTGAGGCTATTTTGGGTTAAAATGTTATTGCGAAATTGATAACGCTCAGCTTCGTTATTATTCCCGGGTGGTCGATTATCTTGTAAAGGGTAATTGCCGTTTGATGGTTGATTGATTCCCAAATCATTACACAATAGCCGAACAGATGTAATTAGGCTGGCTTTTTCGTCTTCAGTTACTTTAGTTTTCCCTTGCAAATCAGCAAGGATATACTGTAGTTCAAATTACTTAATCGATTGGTTAAGTCTTTATTTTGGTTTTTGAGTTCAAGATTTTCTCGTTTTAAAGCTGTTAATTCACTATCTGGATGTGGATTATTAATTTGCTTTAGCTCATTTGAATGTTCCCACAATATGTTGTTTACAGTTGACATACTCGCAGCAAATTCTTTAGATAAAACCTGCAGCCGATTTTCAAAAGATTGCATATGTTCTTCCAGAGACTAGGCGCGGCGTTACGATCGGTTTACTGGTTGCTTCGGCTAGAGATATGAAAGAGTTCCCCAGAGCACAGTTTGTGTTACTATTCTGCTTGTTTACTTCAGCTATAATTCCTTAGAAATTGAGGCTATCGAGTACAGTTTTTCTTCGGTCTTGCTTTGACACCTTCCATTCAATGTGATTGTTTTAGCTTTAGCATATCATCTGATGGAGACGCCTTCGCTTTCAAACAATTTTGCATCGCCACCAGGAGATGACCATTCTCCATTCGGTAGATTTAGTACTTCGTCGACAAATTTTCGTAGAAGATCATATGAGGAATTCCAAATTAGCTTTCCTTTATCGTTTACAGACAGATTATGTAGAAGGCTTTGTTCGGTTAAAAACATTTTGATTGAGTTAGCGGAGCGAAAATTACACGTCTTCACTCTACTTCACTCTACTTCACTCTACTATTGTAAAATTTATTTTATTATCCATGGATATAAATCTCTCAAAGCCATTTATTTCCGCCCAACCACAAGGTGTACCAAATACAAAGAAGAGAATATATTCATCTATATTTTTTATTTTTTTCTGTGTTGGTTTAATGTACTCAGGGGGTTTGATGCTTGTGATGTTACTCTGAGTCTATATCCACACCGGGTAAGCTTGAAAAATATTCCCAAAAAATTCCCATCGTGGCCAGGCATATTTTTCAAGCTTCCCCGGTGTGGATATACACTCAGAGTAACATCACAAGCGACCTGTCATCTGTTGTGCATATGCTCGTCGCCACGACGAATGATTCGTCAATGTGAATATAAACACTGAAATCCATGGCACAATATGTTCCCTTACTCCTTAGCACTGACATTCTGATATAGTGTACTGTCTTTTATTATATAGTAGAGAGTGAGATACTGAAAAATACATAGTGATATATTTTCCATATGTTCACCAGTGAAGATATCGATCACGTGACTTTTTCCAATTTGCTTTTGAGCGTGAAATTTGACAATTTTTTGCTTGGGACTATATAATAAACAGAACATTACACGGTCCCTTGAAGAGATGAGTTAAATTTCAAATTAAAATTCAATTAAGCTTCTCGTGTTAAAAACAATATTTTACTCACTCGCTGCGCTCGTTCGTAAAATATTGTTTTCAACACCCGAAGATAAAAGTCATATTTTCTCGTCGCCGTGCAATATCCTCTATGTATTTTGGCACGGTACAATTAAGTTGACATCTAAATCAGTTGGCGAACTCGTGCCGTACGTAGGCCTACTAAGTAACTGATTTGACTCGGCTCGGCCCATGAAAACAATATAGGGTTTGTTTTAGTACTTCCGGCTGTGGTCAGGTTTAGACTACAAACTTTTCAATGAATTTGCCTATAATTTTGCCTCTTGGTTTTATTTCGAAGGTCTGCTAACTATACTACTTCCATTATGTTCGTATACACATAAACGGAAATCACCATGAAGACGAACTAATATCACTAGACGTATAATCTGCTTACCTAAACGATCACCAATTCGCGGCATGGCAAAGCAACAAGCCAAGTTGAAAATAAAGCAATATACGAAATAATCAGTTTCCATGAATATTTCCTGTGAAATATACCAGCAGTAAAGTGTAACGAAGAAAGCTGAACAAAGACGTTTTTTTGGTTTTAATGTGTATTCTGGGAAAGCTCCACCAAAACATCATGTTATGTCAAGTCACACATCTTTAGACATCCGGCCGGAATATAATTTCACGGTCAGCCAACCCAGATACCATGAAACACGTCCCTAGCTTTCTATGTCGTAAATAGTTCCATCAAGACCCTTTGGCTGCCGTTTCATATAAAGCATATAAGTATATAATTAAGGAAGACAAAATATACAGACAAATACAGTTATATATAATTATGTCGCCTTATTGCCACAGGTCTCGCTACCAAAAGCAAAATCTGGTTAATACTTCCGTAGCACGCCAAAAAGTTGACTTGCGACTTTCATTTTAAAGGGATATGGCAATAAAAATTAACTTTGTCTTATTTGAAAGAACTTTTAAAGTTGTATATGAAGACACTTTACAACATTTTCGTACCTTGTTTGTTTTTCGAAATATTTTGACCAAAACAGTGTGCAGTCCGCCATCTTGGTGCCAATTGACCTAATTAACTGAGTTTTTGATAACGTCACAAGCAGGGTATAGTTAGTGTTAAAACTTCTTCATGTGGGACTAAATTTCTTCGAAAAGTTTTTTAAAATGTTGTGAGTTAATTGAGTACTAAAAAGACTTCGGAAAATCGAGTTTCATATTGATAATGACATGTGGTTCGCAAGATAAAAATTTCGCTTTTACTCTACTTGTGACGTATGCGTATCGAATGCATATCCAAAATGGCGGAATGCACGCTGCTTTTGATCAAAATATGTCGAGTCCCGAAAGTACGTGAATTTAACAACCTATTTTCAATTTACGCATGCTCACCAGTACGAATGTTGTTGAAGTGGAAACCGGGTTTACGATCTTGTAGGTATTCTGACGACGGATTTTATTCCACTGTCGAAACAAATTGTCGCATTTTCAAGTGTTTACATTATGAAAGTGTTAAATAATTTGTTAGAAGAACTCACAGTCACAGAAGAAAATGCTAATATATTCTGATATAAAAGAAGTTCAGGACGAATTAAACTGGAAGTAAATATTAAGTAAATTGTATATTTTATTAAGTATTTATAATATTACCTGTACATTAATTTATTTGACTTACTACATACTTACTACATATTACAATTACTGCAGCCTTGAAGTAGCTAAGGGACCATTCATTATTTATGACTGGGGGTGGGCTGGCAAAAACAGGGGGTGGGTCATGAGGTATTTTTGACTGAAAAGGGGGGGGAGCACCTAAAAATATTAGTTCAGAAGGGGGGGGGGTCCAGTTATTTATTATAGTGGAGAAAAATTTGACATGTAACGATTATTGCTACCAGCCTACCACAGGGAGCGAGCAAAGCAGCAAATTTAATTCATGTATACAGCTAGCAAAATTCTGAATTTTAATCAACAGATAGACCCAAAATGCAATGCACTAATACCCAAAATGCAATGCGCGCAGCTAATACGAAAAATAATCGAACATCTACCTTTATAACTTTTGCCATGAACTTGCCATAAATTTTTGTCATATTCAAATTATGTACATTTTAGTGATGTAGCAACATTACGTCCAGGGAAAGTTTGGCATATCATAGTTTATACTAGGTATTTTATACATGGTTTAATTTAGTAAGGAGTTTGTTGATTTGCCGTGTCAAGCCCGAGTCAAATCCGAGCCTGAGTCAAATGTTCGAGTCACTAGCTGTTTAGCAGTCTGTATAGTTCATTGACGTAGTGCCCTGTACCCTATTGCTAGCCCAGGGCCGTAGCAACCGCTAATCATTCTTTTCCCCAAATCATGCAGATCATTCTTTTTCATTCTCATTCATGCTAATCATTCTTTTTTTTTTATATAAGCTTTATTAAAATGTTTGCCTCAAAAGCCATAGGCTTATCAAGGAGGCTCACACGAACTTACATTATTTTTTTATAAAAATAGAAAAGAAATATTTACAAGTATATAAACACAAAAGACAAGACAAGAAACAACCAATAACAAAAAGAACGTATAGTCACAAAGACAATGGCATGAAAAGAGACTAGGAGAATCGACAAGTATCCAAAATATAACGTTGTACAATACTAAATAGTACACAATTTTCTTTATAACTCAGTTGGGTAGATCCTTTTAACATAAACTTAACCTTCTCATTGTCACTACCCACTTGCCATTCTTGATCACAAACTTGTGCAGCAGAGCTAATCATTCTTTTTCCAAAATCATGCAGAATCATTTAAATAACATACCTTTAAAATACTGACAATTGATTAATTTTAAGCGGCTACATTACCCATGACAAACTGCAAGGAATGAAGATTATATTTCTCATACTTTCCTGCAACTTATTCAATATTGATATAGTTAATTAAATACGCCTTCGCTCATTTAGTGCTACATACTAAAATGCTGTTTTCTGACCATCAGAATTCTCTCAAATCTTCCCCAAAGTCCAGGAAATGGCATTTCAGAGACTCTAAATTTAAAAATTTCCTCGGGCCTTTGGCCCTCGAAGCTCTGCCAGGCATGTCCCAATTGTGCTCGGCAACTTTTGAGCAACTTTTTGCGTTTGGAGCAATTTTTTTCGGCTCGAGCAACTTCAAGCAACTACACTCTTAGTAACGAAAAATGGTATATGAACCCCAGCTTTAGCCTCTTCGGCGCTAAATCAAAAAATCTGACAATGTCTCTAGTTAGCCCGTTGCCCCCCAGTACTTATGTTTTTACTTGTTTAACGCCAGACGAATTTACTCGTCAACAGGAAACTCTGCAGCTTCAGCACAAGTAAATGAAAGCACAAGTAAATGAAAGAGCTGATGCCTTTTACCGAACAAGTTTAGAGAGCGCATTTCTATACAGTACTGTACATTTATTATATTGTCGGTGGTGGTGGTGTTGGGGGTTATTATTTTTTAGAATTCATGTGAAGGGGGTCATTAAATTTTTTGTGATGCAGGGGGGGGGGGTCAGGACATTTTGTTTAGTTATTAATTGAATTTTGCCAGCCCACTCCCAGTCATAAATAATGAATGGTCCCTAAGTACGATTAAAAGTTTTTACTATTCCAGAAACAACAAATTTGAATATCGTAAATATATATACATATACGACTCAACGGAGATTGGAAGCGAGTCTTATCTAACTTAGGTGCAAGGGTGCACCAGTAATTTCAAAAAACCTATAAAAGTCTGGTACCAAATATCACAATTCACAAGCATTGTTTAGGAGCACATGTTAGGAGCAAGTGGCAAGCATGCAATTAAGCTAAAGTTAGCAATATAGCAAGCAATATACAGGGTGTATCAAAAAAAGCGCAATCCTCGACTGAAATGTAAATTGCTAAACAAATAATAGACGAAAACGTTAAAGTTTACATTCATTTTAAAGCGTAGCCATTCAGCTTTCTAACAGTGGGTTGTTTCTTAAATTTGACTCATTGGTTCGCGCGTAATAATACTTTACGTTATTGCGATTGGAGATTAAAAAAATTGAGATGGAATAACAAATCGTTCTCATGAAAATAACTGATTTTTTCATTAAAACAAACAAATGTTGCATTTTATTAAATGGATTGTAACAATAAGTGTAATTACGACTTTTCTTCCACTATTTTTAACTCAGTTTGAAACTTCAAATGCGATATAATTTTGGCTTGGACCATCTAAGCTGACTGACATCAACTTGATATAATTTCTGTTTACATTACATCGCAATTCGATAACACTCTGGCTCAGACACCAGAATGTTTTGACGATTTGAAAGAGAAAAGAACAGGCTTTGAAGTAAGCTTAAAAGCGTTTAACTAGAAATAGTATTTCGAAAGTTATTAAGCACAAAAGATGAATTGCGTTTATTTTGATACACCCTGTATGATTCTGTACAATACATACGAATGATGCCACCACAACATACGCATTTTATACAATCAGATTTGTTTTGAGTAGGATTCCTTACAGCTCTACTGATAAATGTTTTTTAAACAACTAGAATTGATAGTTATATAATTTTTAATTATTTCGCAAAATCGTAAATTATCATGTCCACGTTTCGCCTGTCATGATAGTATTCTGCCAACCCAGCCCGGAGCGAGTGTCGTTATAAAAAATTCCAGGACGGGATTCATCTTACCAGATCCGGCAATATAACGTTTATACTCGGGACCATAATGTTCTGAAGCCATGTACAGAATGCCAGTTCTTTTTCGTAGTCATATTCGTGTTCTGTCCAGAAATATGTACCTGCATGGCCAAAAACTTCAAATGTTCAAACATGGTGATTTTCTTTTAAATGATCAACCAAATGAAAAGGTATTTTATCATCAAAACGCTCGTTTAAAACATCCCATTGGTCCTCCCATATTTCCTGGTAAAATTGAAATATCTTGCTGAACTTGAGTCTCAACTTGAGTCTGGTATGATTTCGTCACCCTCCCATGGCATGAGAAGTACAGATAAAGTATTGCTCCCGTCATTCCCAGGGCACTCGTTGTCTAAACACAAAAAAATAGCGGATTAGTTAGGGATCGGTCATTATTTATGGCGGGGGGGGGGGGTTGCACCGAAGAGAAATGTTTTTCTAGATATGAATTTTAAATCTAGATATAAAAAAAAAAATTTGCCCAACCATAAATATCAATTAAAAATATAAATGCCCACCCCTGGCCAAAAACGTTACAAAAAGATACTGTTCAGTTGTCACATGTCCTTTACCACTTTCTTGACATGAGTTTGATAACTGCTTGTGCAATTTTCTGCAGTCTAAAGTTTCATGTTGTCTGCACATATACTATCTTTGGAGACACCATTTGCCTCCTGACAAGTTGGAAAGTGATCAAGATAGTGACTCTGATTGATTTACATATTGTATTGACATACTGACTTTCGACATTGCTTTTTAGTCTTCAACATTTGAGTGAGCCATGCTCTGGAAACTCTCTCCCCCGCAGAGGTTATTTATAATGTTCTTCGGCTCTCTTCGGATAGTTCTCGGAGTTAATCGCGATTGGGTGTTATTTTTGTCCAGCACTTTATCGCGATTAACTCCGAGAACTATCCGAAGAGAGCCGAAGAACATTATAAATAACCTCTGCGGAGGAGAGAGCTCTGGAAATAACAATAAATTTTTATTACTCAACCCTTGAGTTTTTTTGCTTTTCATTTCCCCAACCTTTTACTCACTCAAAATTTTGTTTACCCAACTCTTTTCTCTTCGGTGCCCCAATCAGGCATGTTTGTCTAAATGAGCCGTGGACCAGAAGACTGCATTCTGTCCTTTTCGGACTGGACTGGTAATTTTTCTGCTATTGCGAGTCATTGATAGAGTTAGCATGTAGATCTACGGTAGTGTGTGACAGAAAATGACAGGTATTTATAGACATTTTAATGACTTAAAGTCAATCTATTTACTTTTGATATGGCAAAAGTTGATATATAACTGCATATTTACAGTTGTGAGAGCGGTCTAGTTTCAGACTTTGCACAAACCTACTTAATAACACGCTTGTCGTATTCAGCAAATTTTCTCCCTGTACAGCAAGCTCATTTTTCCAGCGGAGTTGCGATGAAAGCATCTCGTTTGAGACACAGCTGGTAATTTTGACTAAGATGTCCGCTGAGTGAGCCCGCGCGAGTGGGAGATAATTGGCTAAATTTGGCCAACGTGTAATTCGAGGTTCTCATTCCCTTCCCACAAGTAATTATCGTGCGGAGTTTGAGGCCCTGTCACACTATTGCATATCGCACTAGCTTATGCCAGCGTATGAAGAATATCACTCATACGCTGGCCGGTATACGCTGACATATGTGTTAGGGGTACGTTAGGCATAGGTTGTATACATTTCAAGAACGGTCGCATAATTATATACCGTGGCATACGGCGGGGGCCGGCGAGACAGAAACATTATTTTAAGCATGCTTAATTAAAAATTTTGTGCGTATTCGGACGTATATATGGTTTATACGATAAGCATACTCTAGGCACACGCTGAATACGCTAGAGGTACGCCAGATGCAAGGTACTCACATGCATGCGCTGGCATTTCAAGGGATTTTTGTAATTTGGTGCGTATGAAAATTATTTCATTAATTTTCATACTCTTCTCATACGTTTCTCTCACAGTATATACGTAATAGTGTGACAGGGCCTCTAATTAAATCTTTAATTTTACTAGAGTCTATAGTTAATATATGTGGTTTACACGGACTATAAATGTTCTTTGCAGTCATCAGTTTCAAAATGTTATCTTTGTTTTGTTGTCGGCGCTCTCTATGGTTCCATAGTTTCTTCTCACGGACATACGTTAATGTTTTTAATCTGGAATCTGCTCGTATTGCTGAACATTTTCAGGCTGCACGTTGCCCGGGGACTTCCACAGATTGACAGCAAGCAACACAAGCATACCTACAACGCAACTTAACACCACAACACAATTCATAGAAATGATCAACCACACCAGGGAGTTATCAAATTTCGGAGAAACTCGTAACAACGCCAAGCCGACAAACGACAACAACAGAACAACAGAAACGATCACATCAGCCAAAGTTTCAAACTCGAATCTCTCCGAGTACTGTTCGAACGGTCTGAAAATTAAGGTTATAGCTACAGAGATAAACAGAAGAACGGTTATGCCCATAACCTGGTAAGATGAGGTAGTTGGAACAACGGTAAGAAACACGGCAAGTAAGAGACGACGGCCGAGAAAAACCAACGGGAAATAGCGACGGTATGGAGTCCTAAATTCCTCGTATAAAGGTTTCAACCAAATGTTCGTCTCTTCTGAAACAGCCTTGCCGTGATGGTCTACGTATTTATAGAGTAAAGGAGCAAATACAAAAAGAGGCACACCGATAACAAATACCACCAATGAAACATACCCTAAAGCTACCAGCCAGTTGTAAGAGGTACCATTACAGTCTAACCATGGCGTGACTTTCAAATACGACAATCCGTCAATATGTTCGCAAGGTACCACTGCCTGAAACGTTTTGGCAGTAATAGGAAAGTACACGAATAAGAGTATTTGAATACTTAATCGCTTGCATATAGAACTTGGAATGATTGAATTTTGCCGGCAAAACTGACTAGTAGTTTTCGACAAGCCATGCAACAGCCATATAAGAAAGATACCCGTTGCAGGAAGTAACAAAATTACGGCGAAGCTAACTTCAGGACGATTTGCATTGGAAAAACTACACGTGAGTTCAGAGATTGCAAAATTAAACGCATTTGTGATTTGGTATTTTAGCAGGACTATTGTTTGCGGCCAAATGTTGGCGTCTGAAAGCATGGCGTCAAGAGATTGAAAAAAGAACACTGCAATGGACAGAAAGCTTTCTAAGTTCTCGCTAGCCCCAGAAAGACCTAAAATCCAAACTGCAAATATTATGACAAAAAACCACCCTGGGATTATGTTTTTGTAGTGCAAGACTATCAGTGTTACCGCTAAAGCAAATATTAGAATGAGAACAAGCTTTTTGCGGTATCTCAAACAAACCAACAATGCAATAGAGCCAAGCAAACACAACACAAAGCAAACAGTTAATACAACTGGGAAGTTTTTATGGAATTCGGAACAAGAAATACACAACGAGCCTTTCTTGTAGTAACCATCCTTGCACTGAGAACAAAATCGTCCCTTGTTGCCATGGCGACATAAACATGACGTATCACACGAGGTTTGTAGTTGACCGTTGAGTTGCTTTAATTGGCACTTGCATTTTCCAGACGGGCTGCAAATTTCATCATCAAATTTTTCCTCTTGGTAATTGCATTTAACCATACGAGTAACGTTAGTACCATTTCCGCAACACGGCCAATATCCCTTTTCAATGGTCATCTTAACTTCAATTACTTCCTTAAATGTCTGCGTGGGTGATGCTTCCACGTCACAGGAAGCGCCTTTCATACAAGGCTTGCAGTATTTCATAAATCCATAGTACCCTCTGTTACAAAAGCACAGTCTATATCCATAATAATCCGGGTCTACATCAGCTCTTCCGCCTGAGCTAGTTATTTGTAATGTCGGGCAAGTAAATGTATTTTTATGCAAGGTCTCCGTAAATGTGGCATTCAAGTACTCATTTAGCAAAGAGGCCTTGGCTTTCATATACCGGTTTCCCCGAAGATCCAAGTATGTCAGTGCCTTTAAAGGCGCGAAAAAACTCTTAGATACATCGCCTGATAAATCATTCGATGCTAAACTGAGATAGAATAGATAAGACATACTGAACTGACCATCATTTTTCGGGATGTGTCCAGTCAGATTGTTTTGACTGAGGTCTATGTACATAATATTGTCAAAGTTCCAAAGGGTCGACCTTCGACAGACCTCCCTTCAGTCCACAGTTTCGTGCGACCAGCATGCGCAGATGGTCCTTGCAAGGCTGTAATGCTTGTAAAAGAAGGTTACCCTCAACTTTGAGGTTGACATTTCGATCAATATATAGTGTTTGTAGCTGTTTGTTGAAAGTCATATTTTTGGCAAAACCTGTGAAATTATTCCTTGATAAGTCGAGTACTTGGAGCGATTCGAGTTTGCTTAGTGCACTCGGAAGGAAGCCATGCAGGTACAGATTCGATCCCACGGATAGCTAAGCAATCTTTTTGAAACCGAGGAAACACGCCGAATGTAGTTCGCCCTTTAGATTATTTCCATATAGACGTAGCTCAATGATATTTGGATGGGTTTGGCCAAAGTCTTTAGGCAGCGTTCCCTTTAGGCCGCAATTTGTCAGATGTAAGTACTGCAGTTGAGTCATATTATTGAAATACCACAGTTCTCCTGACCTGAAACTCACATATTCTAAGTCCAAAAACCACAATTTTGTTAGCTTTCCGATGCTCAATGGTAGATGAACATCTTTGATTCCGTTTTCACCAATACTAAAAACTTGAAGTTTGCTTAATCGTCCAATATCTTGTGGTAGCCTGCCATATAGTCCAGTATGCATGCAACATATCTGTAACTTTTCAAGATTGTAAAGCTGTAGTATAAGACTTCATGGCACGGAACCATACATTCCTGAAAATGAGACGCACAGGCGTCGAAGCCGGGTCATATTACTTGATACTATATCAGATATTTGCCCTGTCATATGTCTATTACGAGACAAACATATCCCTTGTAGATTCCGAAATCTCCAAAAATTTGGCGGTTGGCCATCTAACCCGTTTTCGGTAAGATCAATAAATTTTAGATAAGTACTGTTCTTGTATTTGTAACATTCTATACCAAACCATTTGCAATGAGTAATGTTGCTCTCCTCCCCCCATCCTGTTTTATTTATCCATAACCAACGACCACCAGTTGCATGGAAAAGATCTAGCAAGAAGGAGCGTCCTTGTTCAGGCGTGTAGGTAAAGTCCGTCACTGTGTTGTTGTCGGTTAAATTACTCGAGCACCCCGTTCCACCAGACTTTTGAAAGTACGCGAAATCAGAGATTCCTAGTAAAGAGCACATATACATAGTTTAGTTAATGCGAAGACAGCGCGTTTTCGCATAATTACGCCCTCATCATTCAGAAGACAGAGGTTCTGTAAACGAAATAGCGCTAGCAGATGGTTGTCAGGAATATCGACAGTTATAGCAGGGAAATCTCAATGCTCTTTATGTCCGCCCAAACACGACAAGACTACCAAATACAATAAAAAGAATTCTCCATCTGTTATAATAACACGTACAGTATCATCTGTTGTGCATATGCTAGTCCTCACGACGAATATGATTCGACAATGTGCATATAAACACTAAAATACCTGGCACAATATGCTCCCAGAATCATTATCAGTATAGATCACGTTATTCTAGTTCGTCTGGCGCTACTGGCGCCTTGTGTTGCTCTGTGTACATTATAAATCGGTTCATTGCGACGTTCGTGCTTAGGTTAAATCAACAAATTAAAGTTCGTCAAGTTTTGATTAGTTAACGTTCGATACGGGACTGAAATACAGCAAGTCATGTCGTATTAAAATGCGACACAGGTTCGACATGGGTTTAGGCGTCGTGCTTTTCTTCCGTCGAACCAAATGTATACTGTAGTCGTAGACTTTTAACGTATTAAATCATAATCATATGATATATTAGCAATTTAGGACTGACATTTAATTCTGATATACAGGGTGTATAAAAAAAACTGAACAGATTTGAAATTGCTCTCAATTTCGCAAAACACCTATTTGTATCTGGTTTTTTATATATATAGCTTCTTTGGGTACTTATAATGTGGAATAATGAAAAAAATTTCTCGATCTCAAATTTTGTGAACCAGGGGGGTGTGTCTTTAACAACAAACTAAAAATGGCTCGCGCACAAAATTTAAAAGCTGTAATCATATTTTGAGTTAACAGATTGAAAATTTGTCGGGCTTTTAATTACTGTACAAAATTTCAGACAATTTGGTTTTGTTTAAGTCCTTTAACTATTCATTTTGTTCTAAAAAGTCAGCCTTTCGCATGCTTAATTAATGCCGTTACCTAATTTGCATATTGCTGACTATGCAAATTAGGCAAATGCATTAATTAAGCATGCAAATAGCTGATTTTTCGGGAAAATTGTAACTTTGCGTGAATAGTTAAGGGGCTTAAACTAAACCAAATTGTCTGAAATTTTGTACAATAATTAAAATCCCGACAAATTTTCCATCTGTTAACTCAAAATATGATTGAAGCTTTTAAATTTTGTGCGCGAGCCATTTTAATTTGTTGGAAAAGACACTCTCCCCTGGTTCACAAAATTTAAGTTCGAGAAATTTTTTTCATTATTTTACATTATAAGTACCCAAAGAAGCTATATATATAAAAAACAACTACAAATAACTGTTTTGCGAAATTGAGAGCAATTTTAAATCTGTTCAGTTTTTTTTTATACACCCTGTAGTATACTGTCTTGTAATTTGGCACGGTACATAAAGTCTGACATCTAAATCAGTTCACGCGAACTCGTGCCGTATTTAACTGATTTGATTAGGCACATGAAAAATTCGCCGTCTAAACCAGGCATATAACCGAAGTCCTGACACAAACGTTACAATTTTGTCTCCTGGCATGGTTTTATTTTGAAATTATGTTCGTGGCACATAAACGGATCACCGTGAAGGCGAACTAATATCACTAGACGTATAATCTGCTTACCTAAACGATCACCAATTCGCGGCATGGCAAAGCAACACACCAAGTTGAAAATAAAGCAATATTCGAAATAATTTGCCATGAATATTTCCTGTGAAATATACCGCCAGTATAGTATCAAAGAAAGCTGAACAAAGACGTTGTTTTGGTTTTAATGTGCAGTTGTATTCTGGGAAAGCTCCAACAAACATCATCTTACGGTCAACTGACAAGTCTTTGGACATCCGGCCGGAATATAATTTCATGGTCGATCAGGCATGCATACCAGATGCCCAAATTAAAGTCCTAGCTTTTTATGTCGTAAATATAGTAATTCCATAATTAAGGACATTTTGGCTACCACTGGTTTCATAACTATAATAAGGAAGACGTGCAATGTTCTTTCAGATTGGCAGGCAACGATCTTATTCGTTGTACTGAAGAAGTAGTTCTGGGAAGGCCCCCCTGGGAATAACAATAACTACAGTCTTAAGTCATGGGACTCTCATAGGGTGTATAAAAAAAAAGGTAATCGCACTTCAGCGCGCTATTATACGTGAATCACTCGGCGTATAAACAATAAGTTTTCATATTTGGAAAGATCAGGCTTTTAGCTATTGAATGACATGCTTTTCATACCAATTTAGTGGAGAAAAAATAAGTATGTACGAGGCCGATCAAAAATGTTAACAAAAGAAAAAACAATTAATCACTAACGTGTCGTAGCTTAGCTAAGATTTATTCCTACTTAATAATAATTATGAATATGTGTGCAGTTTAATGAAGTGAAATTCATCAACTTAAGTCCTAAAGGGGGTTCATTTTCAATGGTTTTAGACCCAACTCTC